TATATAGCATTTAATTAAATTATATTAAACTCTCTTGAACTCTTGTATTATTAGATTAATTTCTGGAAACGATATATTTTAAATGCTGTATATTGTAAACAGTTCTAAGCTTAAAACTGCTCATGTTTATTGAACTGTATATTATTATTTTATGTTAATGATTTCAGAATATCTATTAATGTATTAAACTCTGCTCTTTTTTTTATAATATGTATTTGATTTAAGCAAATTAAGTCATATTGCAAGAGTCCCTGTGTTAAACCTGAACCAGTCAGCATCACTATATTATTCTAATACGAATGTTCTAACTACATTTTTAATTGTTTCGGGATATAGATTTGGTTCAAGTAAATGCATAACTTCAGTGCCATATCCCTATACCTGATCTCATATCTGTGATCTTTAGCTAAACAGTAGCTAACATTTTGTTGTACAAAAAGGAAATGTACCTTGTTAAGTAGTCTATTTGATAGATTACTTGTCACTGTCACACTTGTCATTATTGTACATTTGTTCATCTTCGTAAAAATGATTGTAGTTAGAGAATTTGTTAATTGTAGAACGCTCTTACGTTTACTACAATATTGTTCCCTTATTTTTGATTTTAAATTGCTATGTGTTCCATATTTGACTAAAAAAGGCGCATTTATTTTATTATCGAATGTCCTTTATTGTTATTATTTATTTATTAATTTATAATGCGATAAGTCTGATAGGCTTAAGTTTAACACAAATGAAACTATAAGTTACATATAGCTATAAATAATTAGTTCATCAGAATTGCCAAAACGTCTTCATACATATGAATTGAGAATATAAATAGATCATTAATCATAAATAAATTATTGTACGCGCATAAAGCATTTATGAAAAAAGGAGAAAGTCTGACATTTTAAACATTAATCGAGCTAGTATAGTAAAGTACTTTACATCGGATGCCTCATTAATTCGTGTTCATCAAAAATTCAGTATTGTGTATGCGTAGAACATCTCTTTCGTAAGTGATAAATAAACCTGTATTTACCTATATTTGTACATTATGTGCATTATATAAAATGTCGACCGCAAGAAATCGAAGTAAATATACTTCACACATATGAAAATATTAATATATTTATCTCTATTATACTCACTAAAACTTCTAGAATCATCACTATTACTTATGAAGTAAGAATATAGAAATGTTAGAAACTTTCAACAGGGTAAATGTGTTAATATGCTTTTGGGATGCTTGTAGCATCAAAGTTATAATATTTTACATATAAGTGTGTATACTTATTAAAATTAGAATATACTATACCTCTGAACAGGGTAAAAGCGAAAAATACTCGGCATGCTTATAATGCTCATTAAGTTCACATAATTACAGATACCTTCCTTAATTATATATTGGTTTTTTTTACAGGTAAATATTTAATTATAATAACTTTCTTTTCTTTTTACTTTTAAAGTGTAGGGCTTTTATTACACTAGTAATATAGCACTGTCCAAGATATGTAAATATACTTTTAAGTATATATTAATCACACCGTGGTATATATATTACAATATTATTTTTCCATGCAAACAAAAGAAAGGAAATTGCAGTACCAGTTCCCATATATGTAATATATATGTTCCATACATATATGCAAACATACATACATATATATATATATACATAAATATATACAAACATATATATACAAACACACACACACACACATATCATCTATGTTTTATACTAAATAATAAAGAAGAATCTATGAATTAAATATACATAATAAAAGAAAATGTATTGACTGCTTTAAAAATAGTAGTAATTTAATCATCTTGCATA